GTCGATGTTTCCTTGGCAAGATATTGGACCCCAATTTATTCCCAATGGCAAATGGTGTGTGTATGTGTGTGAATGTGAGTCTCCCTTAAGCAGGTTCCACAATTTATTGCAGCTTCTGCCTCTGTATGAATATATATTCAAAAGCACTTCGAGGGCCCATAAGGAAAAGCACTATTTAAATGTAGTACATTTACCGTTTACCATCTTTAAACTTCGACAGCATAATCACCTGCTTTGTCAGTTAGGGTTACAGATTGGTTCTATGAGCTGTTATTTCTCTCTTTGTCTAATTTATCGCTCAAATAGTTCTTAACAGCAGCCCAAGTGGATAGTGTGTGTGTGTGTGTGTGTGTGTGTGTGTGTGTGTGTGTGTGTGTGTGTGTGTGTGTGTGTGTGTGTGTGTGTGTGTGTGTGTGTGTGTGTGTGTGTGTGTGTGTGTGTGTGTGTGTGTGTGAGAGGCTGCCATTGAGCTGTTTTATCTGATAGATGAGGAACAGGAGTGATTCTCACTGAGCTGTCAGCTCCTGTCCTTTCTCCCTATCCATCACCGCACACCACCTGGAACACACACATACACACACAAACGCGAACAAACATGCACATGTACAGACACATGTGCTACTTTTTGATGGCAATAAAAAGTGTCCTTGAGCTAGATTAAAGTATCACATCACTATTGGCTTTTGCCTTTACAGTCTGATTTGGGATCATTCACAGATATAAACAATACTGCTCATTATTCCTGATTAACACAACATCATCAGATTAAGTAAAGTAAATAGCTTTGCAACAATCATACCTTTTTAGGGTTTCCCTCTCCTATACTGTAGTGTGTTATATTGGTTTTTGTTCCATGTAAATGGTCTCCAAAGTTCCCTCCAGAGAGTTTCTTTCCCACACACTTTTTAAATGTACAGGATGAAATTTCTACTTTTACTAAATAAATATAAATAAATGATGAAAGATTATGATAAGAGGTACAATTGATCCAACTTTTCAAAGTAATGTCGATTCTGAGGTTTTTTTTCTTGAGAATTTGTGACTTAAATCTTTATTTTTCATCACAAATGTAGGACTTTATAAAATTCTGCTGCTCTCTATTTTAGTTTTGATGATTTGGAGACCTTTAAACATTAAATCTCAGAGTAAAACATCAAGCAGTTATTACCATTACATTGAGAGAGCTGAATAATGGGAATAATGGGAGGGAGAGAAATAAATAGAATGACATGCAACAATGATCCCTGGCAGATCGCTAACCTGGGACATAATGGGCCGCCATTGTGCCCTTTGGATTCTAGTTATTGCTTCAAACAAACCGTGTTAACTAAAAATGGCCACACTGAAAAGAATAAGGCACATTTGTTTGGTTTCTTGCACTTAAAAGGGTGATTTAAAAAACATAACTTACAAGAGTGACATATTTCAGTGTTAACAAATCAATGAACAAAATGAATTGAATAAGTGTTCACTGGGATGGATAACCACTGAAATTAGTCCATTTGAAGCAATGACCAAGCCTCTAAAAATAGATTTTTCTATTGTGTACTGAAATAATAGAAAACCAATGAAAATCAATCTAAAAACTTTTAATAATGGTCAGCTGAGTACAGTTCAGCCACTATTCTACTTCTGGGCTCTGGACACAAGCCTACAAACTCAATAAATATCTACAATGTCTTGTTCCAAAATGGTCAATTTGTATTTAACTAGCTGCAATAAGTCATTTAGAACAGTCACTGTGGTCTTTTACATCCAACGACGTACACCTTTTTGCAAATACGTGTTAATTAACAAGCTACTTTGTTTTCAACACCCTATTCCTGATTTGAATAAAAACAGAGATGTGCCCCATAACTTCTCTTAATGAGAAGGATCTCTCTCTCTCTCGCTCTCTCTCTCTCTCTCTCTCTCTCTCTCCGGTTATACTTCACTCGCGTTTA